TTAATAAATACAATAATTAGAGTTAAAAATTATAATAAAAATTGCAGAAAAATGTAAAATTACACAGCAGATGAAGCAATTATTTCATTTATATTAGAAAAACTTATTGGAAAAAAAAATCAAATTTGATTTGAAAGTTACATCATTTAATTTCAAATCGACTTCAACTGGATTAACAGTAACTGGTGTCTCTGGTTATATCATAAATATAAAAAGATATAATAAATATAACAAATGTAACTAATATAATATTGGATATAAGAATAAATTTTAATTATAATTTATTACAGCAAATTTTTGACAACAAAAAGTATTATACATGAAGAAGATATAAAAGAAGATAATATTGCATTGAAGCAACCAAAGGAAGAAAATAAAATAAAATTGAAGATTCAAACTGCAAACATAATTCTGCTCTAAAGATTAAAGAAAAGGTAAAAAAGAGTAATTAAAAACAAAAACGTAGAAAAAAAGACGACAACCTTGCTGATGGGGAACAAAAGACAATAATACCAAAAAGCATAAAGAAAAAGAAAGAAGATAATTGATGATAATTTTATCAGTTTTTAATACAATATGTAAAAATTGAATTATACATATTGTTTATATAATTTTAGTTATATGTTTTAATAGTATTATGTCACTGATGATTTATACTCATAATAAATAATTTAACCTTAATTTATATTTTATTATTTTAATTTATAATTGTCAGATTAATTAAATGTAATCACAGTATACAATAAAATAATAACTTTAAAATTACATTTTATGATATTTTTAAAAAATCTAATTTTAATTATATAATTATATATTTAATAAAGATTTTAAATGTCTGCGTATTAACGCGCAGGTTTGTTTCCTAATTGGAATAAAAATAATATATTTTTGTTACAAAATTAAGGACTTATAAAAAAATGAAAACAGTGTACTCATAAGATATAAAAAACTAAATTTCAATCTAAAAAGTGAAAAGATGTGTAAAAAAATAAATAAAAAAGTAAAATTAAATAAGCGAAGAGAGAAAAGGAAAAGTATACAACCGACTATTGCTACTATTATATATATATATATATATATATATAATTAATCATTAGAAGTATACAACCGTTTATCTCTTTAGAAGTTTTCATAAATCACTACGAATTTCTCCGCGCTATGCGCGGGATGTGTAATTGTTTTATTTTGATAATTAATTGTGATTTAAATCAATTAGTATATTATTGATATTAGATTGGTAGCTAATATTTAGATTAAATTATATTTATTATGTATTGTTTGATTTAAATGATTTGTATTTGTTTTATATGTGTGTTATTTTTATTATTTTAGTAAGAAAAAAATATGGTGGCAGCGTAAGAGTTCTGAATTATCTATAGGTAATGTGAAATATATAAATTATGGTAGGTTGATAATGATGTTCGGTGTATTAATTTGGAAGTAGATGCATGAGACTTATTATTTATTTAGTAATGCAATTTTATTGAACAAAATTGAAGATGTATCGTAGTTGATTTGATTTTGCTGTGAGATCGTTAATTAATTAATGTTGTATGTTGCAAAAAAAATTCGTGAAGCTTCAATATATGATGTGTGTAGAGGGGGTGAAGAAGAACGTTGTTAGTAGAGTAGAATGGAGCTGTAGTTTTCCTGCATTTATTTTGGAGTATTAAGTTGTGTAGTTAAATCTAGTTGGATAAATTAAAAAGTGATCTGTAAATAACATATTTCAAAGTTAATACCTTTGTATATTTTTGGATTGACGCTTGTGATAAGCATGGTTGTATACTTTCTGTCTTTGATGTTGAGTGTATGGCGGAAATTTGCTGCTTATGCATCCCATATTAACAGTCTGATAATATTGTTCCTGTAAATTAAATTTGTGAGTAATTTTCTTTTTTCTTCTTTTTTCTGTATATGAAGTATCTACTTAGCTGTAAGCCTACCAAAACCTTTGATTTTGAGTTTTGGTTTTTCAGATCGGAACCCTGAATGATGCGGATGTTCCCGAGGACATCTAATATTATTTTGGAAGTGTAATTTTAAGATAATTATAGCATAAAAATATTGAATTGGGGAAAGAAAATGTTGTTATTTAAATTGCTTTACCTGGTAGCTCGTCTCTTGTACCCGCAGTCTGTAGTAGTTGTTTGTAGCTTTTGATGGAGAATTTGTTGGTAGGTATCTGAGGTAAATTTTCCTTCACTTCGAGAAATGTAGTTTGTCGGGTGAAGCGAATGACATGTTGATGAGGAGTGAGTTTATATCTCCGATTATTTTCAAAAACTATGAATTTGGAAAGCTCATATATCAACCCCGCGTTTAATTTATGTTGTTGCAGTTCAATTATTGATAAATGCATCTCGATCACTATACCCTGTGAGAATTGTTATGACTTAAGAAAATATGTAAAAAAATTTGTTTTAATAAGGGAACTTAATGTCTTACGTTTGCATCAATGAGTAGATAGACGGATCCCATTCTTTGATCTTCGTTTGTGTGGTCGAATGTTTCTATGATGCGAAAAATGCGAACAATGATTCTCCCTTCGTAATCTCTTGAACATAAATTTGATAAATCTGTGTATTTTGCGGGCCTGTGTTGCTGCACCAGTCCGGCTGAAAAATGGTAAGATAAATGTTGCTTTATTTAGTATGTGTTATAGCTTAATATATATCATATTATGAAGAAGTGATTACTTTTGCATGCATTGTGTTCTCCCTGGTTTGAGAGCCCATCTTTGTTTTTTTTTCTAGTTAGCATAGGTATATATTTTTTTTTCTGGTTTTGGCTCCTGTTTCTTAGCGGATCTGTTTAATGATTTTTATATGTTGTTCGTAGTTTGCGTATTACGGTTTGATATTTAGTGTAATTGAATGATTTTTGCTGGGTGAATATTATTGATTATTGTGAATTTATTTGTTGGGTTTTGAGAATGTTATTTTGGGGAGTGAATATTTTATTTTCTTTTGTGAAGTTGGTTAGATAACGTTTCAAAATTATAATTATTTGTTGCTTTTTTGTAAGTGTATTGTGGTGTCAGTTTAAAGAAATTCAGATATTTGTTTTTATTTTATGAGTAATGTACTTAACAGTCTGTTGATATTTCTTAGTCTTTGGTAAAAAGGATTTTTCTGCATGATGCTCTATAATTGAAATCATGATCTGAATTTGACGTGACCAAATTAACATATGGGCCTTATATTATTTTGTTTATTCCGGGCTTGGATTGTATTTGTGTTGTTCCTCCTTAAATAATTTATGGAGGTCATGGTGAGAAGGGAGTAAATATCTTTATGCACAACAAATACCCGTTAAGGACATCACGACGGCTTGTGAAAGCCTGAAACATATTATTCCGTGTAATTAGTGAAGACAAACTGTACAAAAAAAAGCTTTGAATGTGGGGTTTTTGTTTATATCATTGTATAGGTGTTGTGTGTACATCTCTTATACGTGCAACTTTTTTAAGAAAATATGTGATTGCAGCATATATGCATTCAAAGAGATCAGATGAGTATAAAGGAGAAGAGTAGAGAAGATGTATAAAGATGATTAGCGTCTTCGGAGATGTATTTAAAGATCACTTGCCCTACATATTGGGCAATTTTTCTTTGAATACAACCAAGTGACAATACATTCATGGTGGAATAAGTGAGTACATGCTAGTTGGTTTATATCGTTTCTTCCTTTCAATGTCTGTAGACAGATTGAGCATTCATCTGTTTCCTCCTCAACAGTCACAGAATTTTTTTCACTCTCCAAAGTGGCGATGAGAATGTCTGTGTCGATCCTGGATGTAGCCTGGAAATTGTTATCTGTAACTGTAAAATATATATCAATGGCCGTACCTCTTTGACTATGTGTTGATATTAGCACTGCAGCGATGAATCGGGTAAATATTTTGCCATTCTTAAAGCGTCCGTCTCTCCAATTTTGTGATACGTTAGTAGAAATTTTATGTTTCTTCTTATTGTTGTAGATGATATGTCACTTTGTTGTGTGAGTGGTCGTTTGATAAGGAGATGGATTTTGCTTGATGTGTCGGTATCATCGGCCCTTGTTGCATATGAGAAAGAGTTGCTTACACATTGTGGGTCAGCCATTTTGTTTGCTGTGTGTAATATATTTGGCGAATCATATTTTGATGTAAACTATTTTACTATTTATAGGAGGTATTTGTTATTGCTATGCTGTTTCGAATTTCTTTTGTCAGGTTAGGAATTTATTGGCTCTTTAATTTGTGTAATTAGTAATTAGTACATATAAGTTATTGTTTATTTTAGTTTGGTTTCTGTTTTGGTAGGGTATATGGACGGTGTGTAACAGAGTAGTTGGTCTGTTTTTCGTTTGATTGTATGAAGGTAGTAGTCATAATAGATAGATTTAGATTTGTTTTGTGGTTTGTTTTTGAAGGTGGGCTATATTATAAGATAGTCATTTGTATTTTATGTGTTCTTCCGTTTGTAGTTTAATTTTTTTTTTCATAGAAGTGATTATTGTATATTTAAAAAAAATGATAGTGATAAAAATTCTGTAAATTATCAGACAGATGGAGAGATAAATGTGGTAAACCGATGTGTCGTCAATGATGTGGTAATTAAAATTGGGATCCTGAACGTTCAATTGCCTCTCCTTTTTATGGAGTCCGTCTAGAAGAAGAAGTTGGATTATTATTAGTCCATATGTGCATTTAATTTTTAATGTTGTAAGTAGATATTTAGTATTTATTTAAATAATTGGTAGTACTTACTATGATAAGCCGGCTAATTATGGTTTTCAACTTGTTATTTTTTTTTAATTTTTCAACTTTAAGAAAGTGATGCCACTTGGTATTGTGGGAGATAATTTTTTTTGCTTAGGTGGATAATCTAAAGAGCCCCAAATAGTCCCTTTTATTTTTTTATTTAGTATAGATTTAAAGAAAAACAGAGAGACGCATACACAGTTAGGTCGATATCACAATAATGTCTCACGATCCCTCTTCCTTCCGGTCAAAGTCAACTAAAGAAGAAGCTATAAAGAACCAAAACGACTTAGCGTTGATCCTTTCGAACCATCTCTTCTCTACCAAAGCCAAACACTCTAACACCGTTTTCTCGCCGGCGTCGATATTCGCCGCCCTCACTTTGGCGGCCTCTGGTCCCGGCGGTTCTTCACTCGCCGCTGCTATCCTCTCCTTCCTGAGGTCTTCTTCAATCGATGAGCTCAACACCGTCTTCAGCGAGGTCGTCTCCGTCGTCTTTGCGGACCATAGCGCGAACGGTGGTCCAAAGATCTCGTCGGTCAATGGCGTCTGGATGGAGAAATCGCTACCGATTGACTCATCAGCGTTCAAGGATCTCTTCGAGAATATCTTCAAGGCTCGTTTCGATCTCGTTGATTTCCGATCAAAGGTACTCTCAGTCTCTCCTTTAATTCAATTCAAAATCAAATTCTGGTCTTCATCATTGGTTTTCTGATTTTGGTTTTGTTTTGTTTGTTTGGGTGATAATGAAAAATTGGGCTGAAGAAGTGCGTGTGGAGCTGAATGCATGGGCTTCGAATCACTCGAATGGTCTCATCAAAGATCTTCTTCCTCGTGGATCCATTACAGAGCTAACCGAAGTCGTTTATGGGAACGCATTGTACTTCAAAGGAGAATGGGAAGTTTCATTCGACAAGTCCGAAACGAAGGACGGAGAGTTTCACCTGCTCAATGGAACCTCAGTGTCTGTGCCATTCATGAGCAGCAACAAGAAGCAATACATAAAGGCTTATGATGGTTTCAAGGTCCTCAGGATACCTTATCGACAAGGCGGCGAAGATACAAAACGCCAAGGCATCGCCGCCAATCGCAGCTTCCCTTATCTTCAAGGCGGCGATGTTACCAGTGGCAGCTTCCCTTATCTTCATGGCAGCGATGTTACAAATCGCAGCTTCCCTTATCTTCAAGACGGTGTTGTTACTAGTGGCAGCTTCCCTTATCTTCATGGCTTTGGTGACAACAAACACGGCGGCTTCTCTTATGGACATGGCTTTGGTGAGGATACCAAACGCCAAGTCGGCGATGTTACCAATGGAAATGGCTTTGGTGACGAGACCAAACGCGGCAGCTTCTCCATGTATTTCTATCTTCCGGACAAGAAGGATGGACTGGATGATCTTGTGAAGACGATGGCATCTACTTCTGGATTCTTGGATGGTCACGTTCCACGTTTCAAAGAATCTGTTAGGCAATTCAGAATCCCAAAGTTTAAGATAGGTGACGGATTAAGCGGTAGAGAGTTGGGATTTAACTCACTGTCATTGTACCATAAAGCGTGTGTGGAGATCGATGAAGAAGGCACTGAAGCTGCTGCTGCCACTTTTGTAATGGGTATTGGGTGCATCCCTAGATATGTAGAATTTGTGGCAGACCATCCATTTTTGTTCTTGATTAGAGAGGACAAAACTGGAACTGTTTTGTTCGTTGGTCAGATTTTCGATCCTTCTATCAAATCTTCTTAGGCTCTGTGTGGGTTCGACCAGGATTTCGGTTAACAATGGATTATTTTTCATTTTTTTTTTATTAATAGGGGTTTTAGTTAGAGGTGGATACGTATCGGATATCTGAAATTTTTTTAGTATTTGTGGTTGTTCTGTTTGTAAGGGATATTTAATTTTATGATTTGATTTGCTCCAGAAATATGAATATCCAAAAAATTTACAGATATTTGCAGATATCACGAATATTTGCGGATATTTATAAATATTTAGTTTAATTCATATAATACATATAAAAACCTAAAAATATATCAATTTTTATGAAATTTTTTTTTTATCTAAACTATTAAGTGAAAATAAAAATAGAAAATTTATAAAAAAGTAAAACTACAAAATTAAAATTAAAAAAAAAAAAGAAAAAATGATATTTTATATTTAAAAATAGTATTAACTTCTTAAACTCTAATATTAAACTTTATTAAAAAAAACTTTTGTAAATATTTATTAACAAATATAAAATAAATATGATTTATTAACATATTTTAAGTTTCTAAACATATTATTTATTTATTTATATTATGTATTTAGTCATCTATTTTATATAATCAAAAGAATTAAAACAACTAATTTTTTTTTTTACAAAAATTGATAGCACAACAATAAAGATAAAACAAAATTTATATTATAATAGATATATAGATAATAAAATATACTAATATATAATAAATTTATAAAAATACGGATCAGAGTGGATATCCAACATTATCTAAAAATATATTTGTGATTTGCTCCGTTTTATACGGATACTATATTTTACTATTTGCTTTGCTTCGAAACTTTACGGATATCTAAATTTTTTGAATCGAATCGAAGCAAATACCGGTTCGAAGCGGATCTAACGGATATTTTGCCCACTCCTAGTTTTAGTTTGAGCTTTTTAATTCTGTTTTTCTTTTCCGCAGCTTGAGGACTTAATAAATCAATTAAATTAAGATTTTATATGTTTGGTTATTCATCGAATGATTTTATGTATTCTACTTTATTTTGTTCTCACCTTTATGGCTTTATATTTGAAGGGTTTCGTAGAATCCATAATCATATATATAGCTTAGTGTGGGCGTCTGAATTAATACTGATAAAAGGCATTTGTAAGACCTAATTGAATGAAAGTGGTATCTAATTATCCCAAAAGAGTTTGAAAGACTCACAAAGCTCCGTTGATTTGGGGAGTCAAATTAGGTTCAGCTTGGTCTCTCTCATGAGTGAAAGCTGTGATTGCTTTTGATAAGTACCTTACTTGATTGTATCTTTTGTTTTTGGCATTTTCGCTTCCTTGCATGATTTACTTGCTTGGTGCTTTAATTCCTCTGTTTAGTGCTTTGCTTGCGTTTGGCCTTTTGGTTTTTCTGTTTAGTGCATCGCTTGTTTTTTTGTGTTACGAACCGAACTCAAAATCCTCACAATCTCACAAACTCTCCCTCGAATCAAAACCTCTCGATGAACACAAAGAGATCGAAAGAAGAAAGAACAATGACACAAGAGAGTTTGTTAACCCAGTTTGATCCAATCGATATGACTGAATCAATGTCAATCGCAAGAACAACAAGGACTGTTACAAGTGACGAAGGATAAGAGTTATAGATCCGTGCTTTTATAATTAGCACAATACACAATATCGCGAGTAGAGGCTTTGCTTTTCTCTTCTTCTTCAGTACTGGTTAATTGTTTTACACACTCAAATCCTTTTTCTCTATACCCACAAGATCCATAATTTCATTAAAGCAAATGCTTATTGCGTTGTGAGACCAAGAAGGTCCCTCGGTTAATATGAAACAACGATTTCATGTTCTTTTATTGGAGTTTCGAATTACTTACTAGAAAAAAACTATTAAATGATAGCTTGTTTGATCCTTAATGATAGGCAAACTTCAATTTAGTGGAGAAGAGAAGCTGTTGTAAATTTTATCAAGGAGATTGGAGTTGGCAAATATGTAGTTGATTACTTCTTTCTCTTTGGTTGTTCTTCTATATTCGTTCCAATCAAAGTTCTCGAGTTTGACTGACTAGCATAACGGTACAGAACTCGGTTGGTTCCACGAGAGTGGAAAAAACGTAATGGACACGTTTGCTTCAATTTTAATTTATTAGTTCATGCGCGAGAGCAAAAACCTGGTCGATGACAAGAACTTTCAGTTTAGGAGAATTTTGACGCAAAGAACTGTTTTTAGATCTTAACTCGAAAAGATGTATTTGACACTCTAAAGATCTTTAGACAAATGGCATTGGCCAATATTTTGGCTTTTCCTAGTAACTTATATACTCTAAAATATCTCAAACAATTATAATATTAATAATTTAATATAATTTGAATTTATAATTAAATTTAAACTACAAAATATAAATTAACCAATTTTTTTTAAGATAAGTGTCTTTTGGATTCTCAACAATCTTTCAAAACATTTTAAAGTATCTCAAACGAGATACCCTTCTCTCTCTTTTTTTTTATTATTATTCTTTTTATTTATATTGTGAGATACCTTCTTAAGAATTCCCCAAAGGAAATGCTCTTATTAGTTGTTGGAATGAGCAGATCTTGGAGTTATTGGATTCTTTGTTGTGAGACTACATAACACTGTATTCATATGTTAAATACAAATTTCGGGTTGAAAGAGAAATGAAGATCTAAGATAAGTTACTTGTAAAGTTTGAAATGTAATATATGTAAATTATCTTACAACTGAAATATGAGGGGAAATCCTCTTGTAAGTAAGTAAAGTAGAAAATTTATATTATTTGCATATTGGAAAATGGAATATCTAGATTAGACAAGAAAATTTAGAATTAGGCAAATAAGATTAATTTTGTTTGGTCTAAATTCATTTTGCTAGTCAACAATGAATAATATCTCATTTATTTGGTAACAACACAAATAATCTTGACTTTATGAATAGAATTGATTTTCACATTGTCACATAATGAAAAATTTAAACTTGATATCCTATTATAATATACAAATTTAATGCACGTCATTATGGGAGAATCAGACATGTAGATCTCCACTTTATGGCCCTTGTTGAGCATTTGGATATAAAAGAAAGCCATAGTCTCTTCCTCTGATCATCGATTTCGTATTTGCGAAAAAGAAACATTGGTCTTTTAAGACAGAAAATGGAATCCAAGAGATCACCGTCATCTACTCTACTTTTGATTACCTTCATGATCATGTTCATCATTTCCGGTTAGTCCTCGTCGTTTACAATACACAATGGCCAAGTTGGTATATTTTGTTCATACTTGACGAACATTTTGATCCAAAATTGTGTTTAATTACGAAAATTATTCAAGATATCATGTTTGATATAATGATATTACTACATGTTTCGTTTCATTCAAAGTTTTTAATTGATATTTCAAAATATAAGTATTGGTATTAATGTTTAGTTTTTTCACAAACTACAGAAGACTAATTAATATACAAACTTTTGTGAACTAATAAAAACAAATTTACAATTTTTTATCGGTTACCAATATCCAAAAAAAAAATATGTGAATTATTGTAGTCAGAAATGCAAAATATTTGAATCGAGTTTAATATTTAATTATTTTTACTGTTCCAAAAGATATACTTTCTACTCAATTTATAAGATGTTTAAACATCATTTTGTAATAAGTCAAATTACTCAGCTATATCCACCATAAAAGGACTATAAAATTCAAATAGTTAAAAATATCAAATAACATAAAATCAATATAAAATCTTATATATATATTGTATAAAATAAAACAATATAAATTATTAAACATTTTATATTCTTTAGGAGAGAGGGAGTATACTTTTATAGTTTTTTTTTCCTCGATAGTTTTATAGTTTTTTTTTTATGAGATTTGACTAGAATCCAAGATTAGTGTTCACTTTCTTGTTGATTAAACACATAATTATTTGGCCCAAGACTACTTAATTACATGCATGAATATCTTTAAACTCTTTTGTTTCTGCAGGACCAAAATCAGTCGATGCAATTGCACCTTGTAAACATCCGGTTGGACAGTATACGGCCTCATGCTTTGATGATTGCGTAACATATGTTGTAGAAAGGATAAGACGGGAACCTGTGTCATATGTTGCTGCGAGAAAATCAACGAATAAAGTGTAGAAGTCAATAGCTGCATTCTTTTGTATCCTATACTATAATTCTATAAACCGTGGAATAGATTCGTCACTTCTCAACGTAGGCTAACTTCGATTGAGTGGAGAAAAGAAGCTGAGATGATTTTGATATTTTATCGATTTTCTTTCGATTGGAGTTGTCAAAGATGTATATTCTTACATTTTTTTCTCTTCGGTTGTTCCTTCATATTCGTTCCACTCAAAGATCTCGAGTTTGGTTTATCACAATCACAAGCATAACGGAGCAGAACTCGGTTTGTTCCACGAGAGTGCAAAAGCCTCATTTAGTTAGATAACGTGTCTGTGAAGCAACATCAGAAAAACGTAATAGTCACGTTTTGCTTCGATTTTGATTTATTGAGTACTTACAAACCTGGTCGATGACAAAAACTTTCAGTTTATGAAAATTTTGAAGCAAAGAACAAACGGCTCAAACCACGCAACAACACAACAACACATAAGTAAACTCTAGAAATGCGCGATCAGAAAAAACAACTGAGGCATAGAGATTAAAAATAATATAATTTTGTTACAAAACTATGATTATTGTTACAATCTGATAAGATATTATATAAAAAGGAGTATTGGAATATAATAATATATTTTTGTTACAAAATTATTAAGGGCTTATAAAAAAAGGAAAACAGTGTACTCCTTAAGAGATATCCCATACCTATTAATTGAGAATGTAGTTAAATAAAAATTACTGATTTTTTTTAATTTGATTAGTTAATATCTTTAGTTTAAGCAATTTTAATGTGATATATAAATGATGATGGATAATGATGATATAGTTGAGAAATGACAGTTTTTAGTACACATGGTTTGTGATAAGACATTATTTAATCTATAAATA